TTATACATTCATATCATTGAGACATTAGTTAGTTAGCCTGTGCACCTGAGTTCTCTAGCTCAGGTGTGGCATAGCACCCCGTACACTCGTACTCTGTTTGGGATCTAATGAGATTTCACCTTTATTTTATAAGTTTTAAATATCTTGAAAATCTGGGGTGTTACATAGATAGTTTAGTATTGGTTAGATGGCCTATGAGCCTTGGATTGTATCATGGATAATGATTATAGTTTATGCTTGTTTAGTTAGTGTAGCGTGTGCATCTAGGTTCTTAAACTTAGATGTGGCATAGCACCCCGATACTTATGTTGTTAGTTCCGCTTTGTTTGGATGAATAATGATAGATTTGCCTTTATTTCATAGGCTTTAAATATTTTAAAATTTAGGGGTGCTACACATGGTGTTCAAGAAACTATTCTGGAAATGTGCAAAGGCAACAACACCCTCACAATTTGATGAAGTTGTAAAAGAATTGACAAAGAGAGGCCCTAAATCAAGTGGGGATTTGCCGAAGTACCCACCCAAGCTATGATGTAAAGTATTCTTCCAGACCAATGTTAAATGTGATGCTGTAGACAATAACATGTCGGAAGTCTTTAATGGCACTATCGTAAAAGCAAGATCAAAGCATATAGTGCCAATGCTCGAAGATATCTGTGTTGCCGCGATGAGAAGGATTGCTGAAAAACGTAGGTCTTTGGATAAGTGGCAAGGAAATCATGACCATTCATCTTAAAGAAATTAAACCAAAATGTGTTGAATAGTGTTGGATGGCATGTCGACTTTAATGGCGTTGATGGGTTTGAGGTAAAGCATGGAAAACACCAATTCAAGGTTAAGCTATTGGAGAAGACATGTAGCTGCAGATCATGAGATTTGAGTGACATACCTTGTATACATGCTGTATGTGCAATCCTTGATAGGAAAAAAGATCCAGCTAATTATATATACATCATTGCTACAGTAAGGAGATGCACTAAATGACTTATTCTCATGCACTTGAACGAATCAATGGGGAATTATTCTGGCCGAGAACAAAATTTGAAGATATTGGAGTTCCTATACCAAGGAGAATGACTAGGCGCCCAGAGAAAAGAATGAATCATGAGGAAACAGAGCCACGTCATTCTAAGACCAAAATATCTAGGAAAGGAGGATTAATCAGTTGTTCCATGTGTAAGGAGAATAGACATAATAAGAGATTTTTTGAAGAAAAACAACAGAAGCTACAAATGTATCATTGAACGTAAGTGTTACTAAAACTTGTATTAATTTTTTTTACACTATTAGCTATTGAATACTTGGATAATTGAAACTCTATTTTTTGTATTTATTATAGTCTAGCCAAGCAAGGGAATGAGCTTGGACAGGATGAACTAGTTGCAAATGGTGTTGAAGGAGCAAGACTAGCAGAATATGTAGTAGAACTTGTTCAATGTTCAATTTTTTGTATGAAATGTTCAAAATATGTACATTGCAATCATCTTATGGAATGTGCAATGTTAATTTTTTGTAAAGCTAAAATGTGGCTTGTTGCTAGGAAGTGAACTATGACTTTTTGTAATAGACTGGCAAAATAGTAGAACTGGAAGAATATGTAGTAGAACTTGTTCAATATTCAATTATTTATTTATTTATTTATTTATTTATTTGTATGGGATATAGTAGAACTTGTTGCTGGGAAGTGAACTAAGGATGGAGTTGGTATCTCCTGAAGTGGTGGAAATAAAAATGGGCCATGCCTTGAGAATATTTTTGAAGTGTAGATCCAGAGCATTCAAACATCATGCTGGAATTGTGTTGCATAAAAGGAGGGGATATATGATACAAGATTCGGTAACATCATGTTTTAGTTAAGATTGGTTTATGCAATCTACCATAAACTGTCATTGTGAGCTCTATCACATAATAGATGTTAGTTTGCCTGATTTTTGTTTATGTGATGATATGTTGCACATCTCTTTGATGAGTGCAATCTACCCAAAATTTAAGAGCTTTTACTTTTGAAGGATCTGTAGACTGCAATGATTCCTTCTCCAAATGTGATGTTCCCTATGTATGAATTTTGAGCAAATTAAAGAAGCATAACATAATAGCATTTAAATACTTTCATTTTGTAAGGATTTCATTCTCATTGCACTGCAAAACATCACAATACATTTTAAGAATCATAAAGTGCATAAAGTTTTCCTTGTAACCCCTAGACCTCTACTTAGCAATCATTGTCCTTGCAAACTCATACAATTAACCTTAAACCAACATAAGAACATATTCCAAAGATGGACTATTGTGCTGGAAATTATATAATAAATAAATTGCTACAACTATTACACTAAAAATCACTCACATTCTCTTCATTTTCTTAATTTCTCTGGATTGAAGTTCCAAATCCCTTCGTAAGTGTTTGATTTCATCTTGCAATTCTAATATCACGCTTTTCAACTCATGAATTGGCTGATTACTCACATCATTCAAAACTTCAACATCATTAGCCAAGATGTCTTATTTCCAAACAAAGAAATCACATCCTCTATCCTGCAAATAAATATTATATAAATTCAACTGCGCAAATGAATTAACTAAACACTATCCTCAATAAATTAAACTAATCTAATTATATAGTTTGTTGATTTTGCGAACTATATTCCAAGAAAAATGAATCCAAGTTATTAACTAATACTCATACCACTTATTATGCAATGGAATCTAATCCTAATAATAACTCTGTATAACCCATGTTGTGATTCTCACACTTCAGTTAGATTGACTAAAAATGATTCATCAATACAAGTAATAACCAACAAAAAGACAAGGAGTGAAGCGAGATGCATTGAAACACTTAAATCGAAATGCAATTTTAGACAATATAAAATTCTAAAACACACCCACTCATAATACTCTGTAAATGAATTCATAAACACACGCTGAACACCATATAATTCTTAATTCTTATATGATATAGAAAAGTTAAAACCTTATATCTTTGACACCCAAATTTTTTTTGCCCATTATCTCGTGTACGATACAATGAAGCTTTTAACACACATAGACAATAAATTATTGGCTCATAATGGAGATTTGGTCTTTAAAGAATTCGATGAAAATGGCAACCCACGCTGACAGGAAGAAAACATTTCTTGGTGAGCAACTAAGAGACTTCACAATCCGAAGAAGACGAGTGCGGTGACTGATCGATTGAGCTCCAGAATGCGAGAAAAAACTAAGAGATTATGTGTTGTGAGTTGAGAGAGCGTAAGAGTGATTAGTGAGGACAAATCGACGATAGAGAAGAGAGTTAGGCCGGGTTTAATTTGCACTCAATTCAAATTTTACTATTATTATTATTATTTTTAAAAATTCCAGTTACGATATATAGTGGTTGAAATTATCCACGTTGGCGACAAAAAAGCATTTACCGGCTGAGTTGGGAACAAATTGACTTATTTTACCAATTTAGGGGGCTTATACGAAGCTTTTTTTTCTTTCTTTCTTTACTTAGGGGGTCAATTGCACTATCTGGTTGATTTAGGGAGCCGATTTGACCATTTTTTCAAAAATGTAATACTTTTGAGGAAAAATGTAATAACTTTACATTTTGATGTAATACTTTTGACGTAATACTTTATAAGTGCAACATTACTTATAAGAAAAATTGTAATACTTCTAATGAAAAAAGTAATACTTTTACATCAAAATATAAAAGTATTATATTTCCTTTAAAAAAAAATAAATAAATAAAAGTATTATATTTGTCCTAAAAAACAAAAACAAAAAAAAAAAAATCTCTCTTTTTCTTTTAATATTGTTTAAGCAACACGTGCCACGTGATTGGTGCTTGGCTCGTGAGACAAAGATTGTCTCACCTCTCCCTATTTACCCCTCCAACCCTTCTCCGTCACCAAGTAAAAAAACTAACAAAAATTAAGCAAAAACTCTATTAGAATTTCTATAAAAAAAATCCTTATAATGAAATGTCAAAATTTTACAAATGATAAAAAAAAAATGTGAGGTATAAATTTAACCTTATTTTGATTACTAAAATACAAGAATTTGGAGTTTGTAGGTCATTAAGACAAATCTTGATATTTGCCTCATTTACTAGTCTCCAACAAGTACATTGAGGTACTCGGCTTCAAACTTAAGATGAAACCTCAAAATAAATTATTTAAAATTGACAAAATATAGTGACTAAATTATAATATTTATATGTTTTATCTCTTTAAAGAAAATTTGTTATAACTTTTAATTTACAATAAAACTTCATTTTTTCTTTCAAATATTGCCTACTGAACTATTGAGTTAAATTTGTATGAATAATTTATAATAAAATTTTAATCACTATTTAAAGGTAATTTTATGTGAAGGTAATTAATAAAAGTTGATTGTCTTAAACAAGAGGGCTGACTATAAATAGTCTTGGTAAAGACTAAAAAGTTAAATTTAAAATTTGATTATTAAATTAATTGTCTTACCACAATATTTGTGATAAACTGATAATACTGAATCTGGAATTCACCGCTACTCCCTTATCACAGAATTGCAGAAAATGATCTGGGAATTTACCGCCAATTGTCTAGGGAGAAAAAAATGAAATTACCGCAGAACAATCGAAATGGGCGAGGAATGAAGTCTCTGTAATTTTCTTCTCTTTGAGACGGTAAAGAATTTCTGTTCCTACAACGTTTTACTTCCGTTAGTCCATTCAATTGGTCGCTTTCTCGTGTGTATGTATTGTTCTTTGGTGGTCATCTTTGTAATCCTCTGATATTCTTCCTGAATCACACTGTGTTTGGGAATTGACAGATGCTTTTCCTTTCTTGCGCAATCTCCAATAATTTACCGACAACAACATGACTTTTATATATTATTTAATCTTAAATATCTGAAAACCTTGGAATTATTGATATAACACTAGAATGTGTGTAAGATCCCTAATCTGCAAAATATAGTGTAAATTTTGTGTTTACTTTTCCTCTTTCCCAGTTGTTCAGCCCTTTGTTGAAAGAAAGATTGGCCGATTGGAAAGTTAAATGCATACAGGATTAGGGCTCCGTTTGGTGGAATGGAATCTCAAATATGGGAATTGGATCAATCTGTAACAGGAATCAATTAAGGGAGGAATGATACTTAGATTCCTTATTTGTTATTCTTTCAGTGTTGAAAAGGACAAAAATGGTACTGAATGGAATAGGAATTCATAGGAAATCATGATTAGATGGACTAGAAACACCTCACACTTTAAGAAAATCATAGATTAGAATGGCGATCATGCTTACTTGATTCCTACCTACTAAACAGATGAGTGTGAGTTAAGAACCAAAAAAATTCCTTTGCCTGCTGTACTGAGTGTATGCCAAAAAATGTTTTAACTTATATGGATTAGTGATTGGATTATATTCTTTGAGAATTGTTTAGCAGAATATTAGGGGGTCGTTTGGTTCACGGAATCTTTAATTATCCCAGGTAATCCTATTACCAGGGGGTAAGTAATATGAGAATTTGGGAATGTAAGATTACCTGATGTGTTTGGTTAAAGTTGGAGGAATGTAACATTAACTTGTTTGGTTGAAGGGTATATTTTAGGGTATATTACATCAATTACTTAAATGCCCTCATATATATTGAAAGGTGTAAATTGCAAGTCTTTTTTTTCATAATTCAAAATTTAACAAGATAATAATAATAATAATAATAATAATAATAATAATAATAATAATAATAATAATAATAATTAATGGAATACTACTGTAAATGATGCAATTCAATAATTATGATTAATAATAATAATAATAATAATAATAATAATAATAGTAATAATAATAATAATAATAATAAATTAATAATAATAATGATGATGGAATGCTACTGGAAAGATGCAATTCAATAATTATGAATAATAATAATAATAATAATAATAATAATAATAATAAATCTTGTGAATAAAAGAAGAATAAATAAGGGCAATTTTGGAATATTGAAAAGTAATCTCACATTACCTAATAAAAATTCGGTAATCAGATTACCTCCAACATTACCATATTTCTGACGTGGCAGTAATGTTGCATTACCTTCCCTCGCAGATGACCTCAACCAAACATGGTAATCTAGGATTACCTTTCTCAGATTACCAGGGTAATCCAAGATTCCGTGAACCAAACGCCCCCTAGGAGTAATAGTCTGCCCCATAGTTAATGGCTGGTTCGGTTTGGGCGTTTAAGTGACTATCTACAGTCTACTACCATGAAATACTTAGAAATTTTTATCTGTTTAAAATGAATCTTCATGTTTTGTGTCCATTCAAACAGAAATTGGCATTTCTGGAGTGACTTGAGGTGTTTTAAGGGTTAATTCTGTCGCTAGGATATCTTTTTTTTGTCCTTTTCGCCATGGGAAAGAAGCTCAATGAATCTTTAAATAAACGGTACAATCAGTCGTCTTTCATCAATCACAGAATATTAACAACAATAATTTTTCTTTTCTTTCATGTTAGGAGAATTCTTTGGCCACCTGAGGTAGAACATGTTCTCTGAGGTTGAAAGTTTGACTCTTGATTGTCAAAATAATATCATTATTGTCTGCATTGCTTTATCTTTGGAATGCTACCAATAATAAGCATGGTTGTCAATTTCATTATTATCATATTGAAATTATTATTATTATTAATTAATTAATTAATTTATTTATTTATTATTTGTGGTAAACAAATTACAAGATACTTGTCAAAACATATGATCTGTATGTCATGTATAAGCAATCAATCATCAACGTGAGGTTATAGGTGATTGCATTTAAATGTTAAATGCTTGTTCATTTATTTGTTTCTCTTGAGTCTTGTCTAATCCATCTCAAGCTGGAAACCAGATTGTATATCACTAGGATACTACATCGACATATATCTTTTACATCCTTTATTTAATGACTTCATCCCTATTTTAATATTCATTGGTTACCCGTGAATTAGTTGAGCCCACCATGAGTTATTACATTTCTATCTTTCTCTTTTCTTTATTGAAGTTTATTAAAGAAGAAACCAACTTTCTCTCTTGTTTCAATGTCTACTTGCTATAGTGCCCGACAACTGCGTGTCTTGTTGCTAAGAATACAAAACTGTGATTGTAAGTTGTAACAATGATATGTTTTGAACAGATTCTGGGAAAAAATAAAGCTGTTCAAAGGGGATGAAGAAAAAAGTGTGTGCTTCCTCTCAGTGTGGAAAGGGGCCATGTGGTTTTGTGCATTTAGCCACATGAATAGTTATCAAGCAAGTACAGTAACAGTCCTAATGATGGTCCACGGCAATTGCAGAATTGAATACATGATAAGAGGTTGTAAGTTTCCATAAATGGTAGTAGTGCACCCACATGGCTCAACCTTTCTGGAATTCTGGAGAAGCGGTGAGGGATAGACAACAACTTGTAAAGCAACCTGACAATGAGCTGAGTACTGGTCGAAAGATGCATTGCAAGTTAATTCTAGGTGAGCATCTTAAACAATTTAGACTACCTTGCAATTCAGCAGTTATACCATGGACTCGGGTCTACCTTGCAAGGTGGACCCGTATCCAAAATACACAATTTACATACTGAATGTTCACAATTTGAATTGTGAACATTTATTATGTAAAATTGTGAACATTCAGTATGCAAGGTGGACCCGGGTCCACAGAATAATTTGCCCTTGCCATTGTTGTGGGTCATTGGTTAATATTATGCCAAATGGTAACCAGGTCCTGCCAAACAAATGTTCTGCAGATGCGTTTACTCTGGCAAATTTAATTACTTTTAGACATGGAAAATTATGACTGTGCTCGGTTCACAAGACCAACCTAATACTCCCTCTGTCCCATTTTATGTGTCTTGTTCGGTTAACGAGGTCTGATTGAAGTTATTTTTCAGTGTTTTAAGTTTACTATTAGCATATAAAGTTTATATATTTAGAAACTACATTGAAAACACTATTAAACACAAAAAATCAAATTTAAAAATAATTAAAAAATACTAAAGAAAATAAGCAAAGACGAAAGAGTTGGTTTGACCAATGAATAGTAAACATGATAGGTAAAATGGGATGGAGGGAGTATCTAATTATGAAAATTGTTTATTGAACAATTCTTCTTTGTGTAACCTTTTTTGGATGTTTTATATCTGTCACATACCAGTATTTCAATCACTTTGCCTTATAAACTGACCTAGCAAAATTAGTATATTACGTGTACCGTCACCTAGTGCATTGAATCAGTTGTCCATGTCTTTGCAAGGGACTGGTAGATGATTGCTTCACCTAAGCAAGCAATTTGTTGTATTGCAGTTTGGCTGCTTCGGGTTGGGTATTACCACCTTGGATATTAAACAGTGGACATGTGTCAACCATTTACATAAGCATTGGGGGATTTATCTATGTCTATTGCTTAGTAAAACAGATTTTACTATGCATTTCTTATTGCAGTGTGGGACCTGTTAATCACGTGGGGGACGCTGCCTCTTGCTAATTCGACAAGACAAGGAAATTGTCATTTGCAAATCTCTCCACCAATAATCATCCATCTCCCACGTGGGAGTCCGGGGCCCTCTCCTAGTATTACTTGTTTCTTCACAATATATAGTTGCTCCTTTCTCAGCTCATGATCTCACTTATCACACACCACCATTTCTTTCATTTAATTTCCTGCTTGTTTCATTAAGCTCGTTTTGGCAAGAAACAGATACTAAATCGGTATGGGTGACTCCTCTGCTTCATATATACATATGGTAAATCAAAACTGATGCAGCTTCCGCTTCTGCCCACTGTTAATCACTCTTCATAAAATAATCTTCATAGTTTTCTGGTTGTTCAAGCTGTCTGTCTATGGCTGCACTTGCTTTTCTTTTCGACTTGATTGCTTGAAACTATATTTCCAGAAAACTTCTCTTGTTACTAATATATATATGATCATCTAATCTAATCTAATCTAATCTAATCTAAATCTAGGTTCACCACCTAATAGAAAATTGCCTGATTTTCAACATGACAAAAGAGGAGTGCATGGAAGCTCTGTCCAAGCATGCAAACATCAAACCACTCATTACTTCAACAGGTTAGTGTTTTGAACTTTTGAGTTTTGATATCCCTAAAACTTTCATGTCCAATATCATAGGCCTGAGTCCCAATGTATAAGAGATCTCTGGATCAATCCCCCCCACCACCCCCCTTTCTCCCCTTGTCGTATTTATTAAAAACTGTTATCATATGCATGCATGAAGTAACATGGCTGTAGATAGGCATAAGGTATTCAACCACTGTATATATAAGAATTAATCCTGTAAAGAGTTTGCTTTTGGGATACAGGATAAACTGAAAGAACTTCAGATTTAAAAGGTAAGGGGTAGTTTAGTTGTTTAGATAAACTAAAGCTTTTTTGGAAGCTGACAAACTGCATGTAGCTACCATATGATTCAGTGATTGATTTTGCAGTATGGAATGAGTTAGAGAAAGAGAACAAAGAATTCTTCGAGGCATATTCTCAATCTCAGATGAAAAAGAACCGAATGACAGAGGCAGAGGCCACAGCGCTGATCCAGAACTCGTTTTCAGACCATGAAGATACTAACAAAGATTCAGACGAATGATCATTCCACCATTACAGTGAAAATGGTCTAACCTTGGCAGTGTTCCAGCTGGCCGCAGGTTTCAACACTGTACTTCCTATCAAGCTAAACGTATCATCCCCGTTTGTTTAATCTATGAAGACATAATAAGTACCACTTGTGACGACATTATTACTAAGATTCATGCAGATGCTATACTCAACATGCTTGTTCTGAATTCTTGGGGAAAGATTGATTAGCATTTAACAATGTTGGTAAAGCATATGCAGACACTTAGAAACCGTTATCCTAGTCTTGTAGACATGGCTCCAGTGCTGCTGTCATTTAGCTGTGTACGATTGTACATATTTACAAGCCTGTCGTTTAGTTACATATGGTAGGGGCTGCTTTTTTGTATATTCCCATGTTATTACAGAAAAATAAAGTTGTAATGGATTTTCAGTTTTGATATTTGTCCAGCATTGTGTTCCCATTGCATTTTGTTTTTCTTGTTTGGATGAGATAATTGGATCAAGGGGGTGTTTGGTAAATGGTTGTTAACTGATAGCTAATAGCTGATTGCTGATTGATTTAGTTGGTATTTGATAGTTGATTGTGTTAGCTGGTTTAACCAGTTGATTGTATTAGCTTGTTATTAAAAAATGTTTGGTAAATGAGATGTTTACTATTAGCGGATTGCATATAAAATGACTTTTAAAGGTATGAGTATATTATGTTACTTTAAGTTTTAACTATAATAAGGGTATAAACTTTTATGGATAAATGAGCGAAAATCCGAAGCAAGAAGCAATGGGGAAGAAGAAGGGCGAGAATCAATGGCAGCAACGATGAAGATGATGATGATCGATTTGGGTAGTTTTTTTCATTTTTTTTTTTAATTTGTGAATTAAAAAATATAGTTTCTGTATTTGTTGTGTGTTCTGAATTTTGAGGATGAAGACTTTCGTGATAAGTTTATAGTTTTTTCCATTTATTATTTACTTTTAATTTGTGAGTTTAGATGTGTGTTCTTGAATGTTATCCATGGCTGCCAGTGAGAGGGGGAGAAGGGGAGAAAAGAAAAGATTGATGGGTAAATTTGTCTTTTAGAAATTAATTGCAATTGCAACTAGCCATCCAAAAACGATGCTTCACTCAGCGTGTTTTAAAAATCAGTTTACTGGAATGAATCAGCTGAAGAAAAAAGTCATTAACTAAACATTCATTTCAGCTGATTGACTAAGTCAAACAACTGAAAATAATCAAATCAGCCAAAAATTGGCTGATCATCTAATAACCAAACAGCCCCAAGTATTCTCTTCCATTCTATTAAATATCTTCCTACCTAAATTGGAAAGAAAATAGTTAGAAAATTTCATATTTATTTCACAACATAAATTGCAGGATGTTCTTTAATGCCTTCAAACCTTCAAATGCATGTACACTAGTGTTCACAATAGGATTCCCCCTTCAGGCCTCTAAACTTGCGACAACTAGTAAAGTAAGGGTGTGTTTGGAAATCCGGAAAATGATTTTCAGAAATCATTTTCCAAGTTTCTGGTTTTTTTTTTTTTTTGAAAAATGACTTTTCCTTTTTTTTTTTGGGGAAGTCATTTTCCATCTTCAATTCTCAAGCCAGAGACGCTCCACCTGCAATCTCCACGCCTCCATTTGCAAGCTCCACGCCTCCATCAACATGAGAAAAGGCTCCACCAACAAATCCCTCACCAGAAAAGCTCAACCAACTTTTTTTTTTTTCTAGTTTGGATTTTTTTTCTCCGGATCTGACAAATCTGTAGTTGTTTTCCGGCACCCAGAGGCTTCCTCATCACTGATTTCCACATCAATGGTTCGGGAATTTTACATTCTCAGATTTTTCTGTTACATTCCTTGAGTCATCTGATCTATGGACCAACTCAAACATTCCGCAAACTCCATTGTTCCTTAGCATGGCCTGTAATTGATTAAATGATATTTTTTGAGGGCTCAAGGTTTGCATTCTAGACAAGGTGATGGCTCGTCCTTTCCTAGTGAATTCCATAGTGAGGCTAGCATAATCATGTGCTACTTTCTCAAGGTCTTGTAACTATTGGAGTCCTATTACGATGTCCGGTCCTTGAATTGGTAATACATATAAATCCATAGTAAAATCAGTGCCCTGCAATTTTAAACGGACATCCTTGCAACAGTAGTACATTCCAATGAGTCCCCATTGCCAATAATCTAATATAAACTCTAAATGTTGGAATTTGATGTGATTCCAAATTAAGTCTTTCTGCCACAGTGGGTTGAATAAAATTGTGTGTGCTCCCTCCGTCAATTAACACTTGGACTTGTGACTTTTCTAATTCTCCCCACAAGCGTAATGACCGTGGAGTCCCCGAGCCTGCCATAGTATTTAGGCTAGAGATATCGCCCAGAATCACTATCTCATTTGCATGATCATTGATTGGATCTTCATTGTCGCCTATATAGTAGCCAAATCATCATCAGTACCAAGGAGCATTTGAAATCTTCTTCGGCAATGATGGTTGGCCATGTACTTTTAGTTGCAGTTATAGCAGAGTACTTTAGCACGTTTCTCCCTTATTTCCTATGGTGACAGACATCGAATTGGCAAGGTGTTAGGAGTTGTTTTAGTTGTGGTTAAAGTTTTTGCCGGTGTCGTGGATGGGTTTGGTAGTAGCAGTAATGGGGCGGTGGTTTGTGGTGATGGTGTAATTAGCATTAGATTCCTATTCTGCCATCGTCTAAAGGAAGAACGTTTGTCCCGTGCCAAATCTACCTGTAACTCCTCATACTGAATTTCATTCTCCCGTGCTAAAGCAAAAGCCTTCATTAACGAAGGTGATCTAGCCCGTTGAACTTCCTGGCGAATATGAGATTTAAGGCCAGCAATAAACATCGATGTTAGCACTGGCTCAGAGATTCCTATAACTTTATTCATAAGGCATTCGAATTCTGATTGATATTCTATTACTGTTGTGATCTGAATCAACTTGGAGAGTTTTCCTTGGTAATCTTCTAATAACATGTACTTTAGTGTGGTGGATGGAATGAAGTAAACGAAGGTTGTGAAACCCCTAAGTGACGAACTCAAGGATGACCGTTCGGAGCAAGTAAAGTGCAAGACAATCCTTTGACACAATGCATCAATGAGAGTAAACTAGGTGCAAGAGGAGAGTAGTATGGAACATGGATACAAGCATAGAAAACAAGGAAAATAAAGGAAAACGAACAAATAGGGGAAATGGGGATTTGGATGGAAAGGATTTGTGATCATGCATTCATTGGTCTTCAACTTGGGACAAGAGAGGATGCAAAGCTTGCCTAACCTACGGGAGAACCAAGGCACCAACATTAGGTTGCGTCAAACCTAAACTCGCATTCCTTATGTCGGGTGAGGCATTCTATCAAACACTTGGCGGGTGGTCTACTGTCTCCTCCCCTAAGCTCGCCCTCTCGGGTCGTAGGAAGGGGATTGCAAGGGCAAGACTAAAGAGAGTGCAATCTCTTACTAAACTCTCACTCTCACACTTATCTAACCATTATGGCCGTTAATGGAAAGAGATCAATATGCACTCCTCTACAACATAGGCATTCGAGGACAATCCATACACCAAATCTCATCATATCAATCATACTAAGAATGGATACATAATCAACAAATCAAATCCAATCCAAATCCAAGCAATCTAAGCACTCATCATCATTAAGAGGGTAGCAAACACAAATTAAATCTGAAATAATAAACAAAGAAGAGATGTTACCCAAGTCTTCAATCTATTGTGTATGAATCCAAAGAGATTTTGTAGAACAATGAGTGTAGATCTTCAAGGTAATGTAAATCTAACCTAACCCTAGTCTAAACCTAATCTAAAAGAGCTAAATGGAAGAGTAAAGGAATGGGAAAGAGCAAGCCTCCTAAATGATCCCCTTACAAGCCTTTAAATAGGCTTAAAATCTGAAATTTCATTTAAGTGTCCCGTCCATGCACTTTGCAACGCACGTTGTGAGCTGCGTGGAACTTTCTGGAATTTTCGCCCAAAATGAGAGTTGTAGCCCTTGAAAAGACCGCCCAAAATTTTGGCACTGATCATCTTCGTACCTTGAGGTCCCAAATCGTAGCTCGACTGTTTGCAAAAAATCTGCCCAAGTGGTGAGGATATTGTTGCGCTTCATCCATTGATACCATTCCGATTCTTTTCCTTCCATGGTGAAGGCCACAATTCTACTCATTGTGTGTCGGGCGTATCATAAAAGTTAAAATATTCCGTAGTTCGAAAGACCCAACCATATGGATTGCAACCATCAAACTTTGGGAGTTCGATTTTCATGCTATCAAAATGTGGTGGTCCGGGTGCTGCTGTAGAAGTTGTGACTATTAGATGGGGAAGAATTGGTCTTGCTGCAGAAGTTGTATTTATTGGCTGGGGAAGAATAGGTGTTGTTGCGAAAGTTGTGGCTACTGTATGGGGAAGAATAGGTGGTGGTTGAAACATACTCTGTGGAGTTTGTTGTGGACGATAATTGGTTGTCAACCCTACTACCATGTGCTCTAGTAGTTCCATAGAGCCAAACAGTTGCTGAAGTCTAGTATGAGTTCGATGTTGGTATTGTTGATTTGTGAAGGCGTTTTTTATCAAATTGTTCAATGAAGATATGCTAAAGAAAAACTCGCAAATGGGGATTCTGATGAGGCTGGCTGATGAGTTTCAGACTTAATTAAAGCACCAATTGATACGGTTTCGTATCAAACCGGCACTGTTTGGAATGATGAGTAACTTTCTTGAAAGAAATAAAACTTAGACAATTAGGAAGAAGAAAGAATGGATACTAGTTTAAAAAAAAAAAAAAGAATGAATACTAAAGAATTAAATATTGTTCTCTGCCCCTCTCCAATGCTAGCTATCAACTATTTTTTTTTGGAAAACAACTATCAACTATTTAAATATAAATACTTTTTAATTTCCTACTCCTATTAGAAAAGCTAATAACTAGTCATGTTAAAACACTTATTTCACGTAATCTTTCAACCATTGAGGAGGTCTTCGATTCCTTGTTCGTCTACCCCTTCTGTCTCCTTCTTCTACTTGGTTTTCTTGGACTAGTTGGCTTCCTTCAGTTTCCATGTTCATAGTGTGTTCTCTATTTTCTTCTTCATGCCTACCATCTTGTAAAATCGTATCAAAAAATCAATATAGTGAATGCATTATTTAAAAAATTAACTTGTTGAATGCTACTAGCTCTATTACATTGTAGTATCTGAGGCTTGAACTCACAACCTTTCTAATGAAAGTCCAACCCGAGTACCATTAGACCACATAGTCCTGGTTTTAAAAAAATTAACTTGACATAACAAATGTTGATTTTCACAAAGTTTGAATTTGAGATATAAAAGTAAAGTCCATACGTGATTTCACTTGTGAGATGGCGTGTTCAAGTTTGAGTCTAACCTGATTATGTTTC